AAATTGACTGAAGATAGATAGAAGATATAAATCTAAAACATGAAGTGATAAAAGGAAAGTGAAAGTGTGGATAACTCTTGAGGATGGGGTGGGGCCTGTGGCTCAAGGAGTAGGGCACCGGCCCCATATACCGTAGGTGGTGGGTTTAAACCTGGCCCTGGTCCCCCAGTCCCCCAGCCTCAAAAAAAAAAAAAAAAAAAAAAAAACTCTGGAGGATGTCAGCCTGGAGAAAGATTTTATGAAGAAGACTTCTGGGACAATTGAAACAACAAAAATAAATAAATAAGACTTAAACTGAAAAGGTACAGGTAAGGACACAACAATGAAAGCAAATAGCCAACCTTCAGAATGGGAAGAGATATTTGCATGTTATGAATCAGAAAAAGGCTTGATAACTAGGATTTCTGGAGAACTCAAATTAATCAACAAAAGAAGGGCTAACAATCCCATATATCATACTGGTCAAGAGGCATGAATAGAACCTTCTCTGAGGAAGGCAAATGAATGGCTAAAAAATATTTGAAAAGATGTCCATCATCCCTAATCATCAGAGAAATGCCTATCAAAACCACCCTGAGATATCATCTAAGCCCCGTAAGATTAGCCTTCATCACAAAGTTCCAAAGTTGTAGATGCAGAAGACATTGTAGGCGCAGATGTGGAGAGAGGGGAACAGCTTTACACTGTTGGTGGGACTAAAATTCATATGGCTTCTTTGAAAGAAGTATGAGGAATCCTCAAAGAACTCACATTAGACCTCCCATTTGATCCCACAATCCCACTAATAGGTGTCTACCCAGAAGGAAAAAAATCATTTCATTATAAAGATATTTGCACTAGAATTGTTTATCATGGCTCAATTTACAATCGCCAAGATGTGGAAACATCCTAAGTGCCCATCAACCCAGAAATTGGTCAACAAATAATGGCACATGTGTATCATGGAATATTGTATGATTTAAGACAAGATGATGACTTTACATCTTTTGTATTAACCTGGATGGGATTGAAACACATTTTTCTTAGTAAAGTATAAGAATAGAAAAGCAATATGTCATGTACTCAATACCAATATAAAGTCAGGAGATGAACTAATACACATCCACATAGGAGAAAAACTCAATTCAATTCAAGTCTGAGTGAGGAGGGTGAGGGGATGAGGGGAGGGGATTGGTGTGCTTCTACTTAAAGGCACAATGCAAGGGTATATGGCTCACCTTTTGGGTATGGAACACAACTACAAGAGGGACCCTACCTAACAAATGCAAATATTGTAACCTAGTTGTTTGTACCTTCATATTAAACTAATAAGTGAATAACTAACTAACTAACTAAATAAAATTACATAACTAAAATAAAAGAAAGCTAATTAAGAGGTACTATTTTTCATCTAATATCTTTTATTGCTGGTGACAGTTTAATGTTTTATAACCTCTATATAACCACTTGGCAATAATTGTGAAATTCAAACTCTACCCCACACACATGCTGACATATGAGGAATTATGAATGTATGCCTTTATTTTTTGAAACACTGTCAATGCAA